AGGTGATCTGTTAAGGTCCATTCCAACTCCTAAAATTCTGTGATTCTATGGTCAAAAATTTGTTAAAATGATTATTTTCAAACTTTCACTGGAGTAATCTGATCAGTAAAACTATTGCATTAGCTGGCAAAGTTGTCTTTCTGTTTTCTCTTCCCGACTCTTTTCCCCTGCAGATTTAAGGATAGTTCAGGAAAACAGAAGTGAGAAAGAAAGAATCCAGAGGCTGACCCAGGAAGCTTTTGGAGATGGTCCCCAACCGAAACTCGAATTTGCACAGTATAAGGTAATAAAAGCAACAAATCTGGGGATGTTTTTTAATAATTTTAATGTAGTGTTAAGTTACATTCAATTGCAAATTGAAGAAATGCTATGTTTTTTTAAACTTCAAGGGAGGACATTTTAAAAGAAATTAGGTAAAAATCTGCCTTAGAAACAAGTGTGCATTGGGATTTGGTCACTCTTAGATCACATTTCAGTCTTTCAGCCTTGTGAACTGAGCTTTTTGACTTGGTTTTGTAGTAAAGACAGATTTAGACCAGCAGTGTGCTGAAGCATGAGAAATTAGAGTTGTTTGAAGTCCATGCAAAGGTCATGCTACATATAACATCACAATTAACTTCTTGAATGATGCACAGATTTTAGCTGATGAACAGACTGAAAATGCTAAGAGATGTTTAATGAACGTTGCTGAACAAGTTGCCTCTATCCTTCAGCGGAAAACTGCCACAGGGTGGCACCCTCCGATTTTATTACAACACTCCTCCAGCTGGAGTCACGTTAACATTGCAACTACCAAACAGTCTGACTGCCTAGTGCATTCTTAATGTAATGTTTAAATAGCAACGTATAAATATATTTATTTGTCGTTTTACATTTATAAATATATTCATTGCTTATACTCACTGGTTCAATTTTGTCTTAACAGCTTGAGACAATGTTTAAAAGTGATCCTGAAATGAATGTTTTGAACAAAAAAGAACCATTCAGGTGTCTGGTCAAGTTTTCTAGTCCACATCTTTTGGAATCACTGAAATACTTGGCAGCAGCAGGTAAGTGTTCCAGCTCAACTGGAGGGAAAACCCACAGATGTAAATATTTTTGACATGTTACATTCTGCTTGTGTCTTGCATAAGTGAGAACCTTCCTAGTTTATTTAGAAATAGATAGACATTTAGTAGAATAAAAATGTTATCACTCTGTCTTATGTCTAAAAACATAAGTTTGTTCTGAGAATTACTAGTTTGTACTTGGATGCTCGAGCTGTGGATTTGGTGTTGTAGTTTTGTGTTTCAGTTTCATAACAGTTATGAAAGGTAGATGATGGTTGAGTACAGCTATAATTGTCGGTGTCTCTCTCTCTCCAGGTATGGCTGATGCACCACTCTCACCACTACTTACAAGCATAACACATAAAGCTAGGAATTATTTTAAAGTTAGAGAGAAAAAATGTGTTATTCCAGAAAGCTTTGTAAGCCCTTAATTTAAAACTGATTCACAGAGAAGTATGCAAACTCGTTATTGATATTAGTCTAAGCCATCACAAACTTTAAAATAGTTTTAGGAATGTAACTTAGCCTTTTGTAATATCTTGAAACTTGTTCTAAATTCTGCCTTCTTTGCATTACTTTTCCACGGTTGTCTTTGCAGAGTTAGCCCTTTCCTTAATTAATAAAAAGTTAATTGTAAAGTTTAAACAGAGATTGTCGTCTCTTCAAATTTCAATGTGATGACTCCTGTGACAAAGTGACCTTAGTGGAAGAAGGGAATGCTGTGGGTATGGTCTGTCTGGATTTCAGTGAGGCATTGGACACTGTCTGCCACGGCATACTTCTAGAAAAACTGGCTGCTTGTGATGGGAAGACTCTTTGATGGGCAAAAAACTGGCTGATGACCCAGAGGGTTGTGATTAATGCAGCTAAATCCTATTAGGGATGGTCACTAGGGGTGATTGCCCAGGGCTCAGTGTTGGGGCTGGTCCTGTTTAACATTTTTACTGATGATCTGGATGTGGGGAGTGAGTGTACTCTCGGTAAATTTGCAGATGACACCAAGTTGGGTGGGAGTGTGGATCTGTCTGAGGGTAGGGAAGCTCTAAAGAGAGACCTGGACTGACTTGATCAGTGAGCTGAGGACAACTACAGGAGGGTCAATAAGGCTTAGTGCTGGTCTTGCCCTTGGGACACAACAACCCCGTGCAGCTCCAGGCTGAGGGAGGAGTGGCTGGAGAGGTGTTGGTCAGAAAGGGACTTGTCAGTGCTGGTGGCAGCAGCTCAGTGTGAGCCCACAGTGTGCACAGGTGGCCAAGAAGGCCAAATGGCATCTTGGCCTGTATCAAGATAAATCCCTGACTGCTTGCCTGGAAGTGCTGTGTAGTTCCTGTAACATCCCTGCAACATCCCTGCTTCCAGGAAGTTAAAGATGAAACCTATCTCTGATAATCAGAAAAGGCCAATTCAGTTGTTAAAAAGGGGCTGGAGATGCCTTTCCCAGAAACAAGAGGCAACCACCGGCAGTGGGCCAGGTACTCGGTATGCTAGAGCATTTGGGAACTTTGTGGTAAATCATCATCATCTCAGGCATTTAAGTTATTTGGGAAAGAGCATTAGGAAGAAGTTGCACAGAGTAAAAGTGCATATGTAATCTTAATGGGTCTGAATCCTGGAAGGTTCTGTGAGGGGATGAATGAGATATGTAAAGAGTCAGCTCTTAATGTCCATCACACAAAAGCTGGAATTCTTTCAGAATCCTAACATTATGTTAAGTCTTTCTTCAAATTAACATTTGAATCACACAGGTGGAATTCCTCTAAAACACATCAGTAACAGGTAGTCCTAAACTAACCTCTTTTCACCTCTGAGCTATACAGTTGCTGAAAAACAAGTCAAACCAAAAATCAGTGTATGATAAGTCACGTTTCTTAGTCAGGGCAAACAAACTTTTATGAGAAGACTTAATTTACACATTTATATACAGTTTGAAAACAAAAACATGTCCATACAACCTTTCAAAATAAAACTGCTTCTGCACAGATATATCTACAGTGAACTGGAAATTCCACATACACAAAGTACATGCACAGTGTCTAGATAACAGAATTTGAAAGAAGCACTTGTATACTATGATTGAATCTTCAGATCAAATCCATCTCAAAAAACAGTGCAGCAAGTTACATAAAAATACCTATACAGGTACCAACATTTACCAGCTCTAGAGAATTCCAAGGCAAAGTTGTTTGCATCGGTGACTGTTGCCATTTTGAATCTGCAATCTTTGTCCTCAAGCAAAAAAAAGAAAAAGTGGCAACATGCAAGGATTTCAGAAGGATCAAATATTAATTCAAATATTCTAAAACATGTTCTTTCTCAAAAGAAAATACTTTGTCTTCCACCAAAATAAACTTTCATAAGACATTAATATACCAATAGACAGATTTTTCTTTTTTTAATATTTATTGGCTGTTGTCCTTGGTAAGAAATAATCTGGCTCTGAATGAGTATCTCCTTAAAGCTGGATGGAATCTTCTTACTGACTCCAAGAGTGTCCTCTCCCCCAGGCCCTCTAATGATGTTTGAATACAGTCTTTGTCTCCTAAGATACCAACACTCTTGACCTGCAGACAGGGAGACTCACCCACTTGAGTGGGACTATTCCCCTGTTCACAATGGGGCACTTGTTCCGTTACATCACTGAACTGGAGCCAAAATAACAAAGATCACCTAGAACATTGTAGTCATCTATAGCTGTGGTAGCAAACTGAATAGCTACAGCTGTTGTGCAACCATCCTTGAGCCTCTTCTCAAGGCTAACCAACCCCAACTCCCTCAGCCCTTCCCCATGTCCTCTAACCCTTTGCTGCCCTCTTTGCCCTTGGTTGGACTCACTCCAGTGCATCAATGGCCTTTATAAATTGAGGGGCCCAAAACTGAACACAGCACTGAGGTGTGACCTCACGAGTGCCAAGTACAGGGGGATGATCACTGCTCTAGTCCTGCTGCCACACTGTTCTTGATCCAGGCCAAGATGCCCTTGGCCACCTGTGCACACTGTGGGCTCACAGTCCACAGGCCTCTTGTCCATCAGCACTCCCAAGTCCCTTTCTGAACAACATCTCTCTCCCCACTAATCCCCCAGCCTGGAGCGGTGTGGGGTTGTTGTGTGCCAAGGGCAGGACCAGCACTGAGAACCTCCTGGAGTTGTCCTCAGCTCACTGATCAAGTCAGTCCAGGTCTCTGTAGAGCTTTTCCACCCTCAGACAGATCCACACTCCCACCCAACTTGGTGTCATCTGCAGTCTACTGAGGGTGCACTGACTCCCCATGTCCAAATCATCAGTAAAGCTGTTAAACAGAACCAGCCCCAACACTGAGCCCTGGGGAACACTCCTAGTGACCAGCCCCAATTGGATTTAGCTGTATTAACCACAACTCTGGGCAAGCCTCTTCCAACCTTGATGATTTTATGACTTCAAGTGATTTCCCTGTGTCCCATCTCCCTGTGCTCCCTGCACTGATCCCAAGGTCTGTTGGATTCACCATCCCTTGGGAGTGTTTTAAGAGGTGTCTGGACCTGACACTGGAAGATAGGGTTTAGTGGTTATAGTGGAGTGCCAGGTTAACAGCTGAACTTGATGATCTGAAAGGTCTCTTCCAACCTTCATTAATGGTCTCTTCCAATCCTCAACCCCTGTGTCCCATCTCCCTGTGCTCCCTGCACCAATCCCAAGGGCTGTTGGAGTCACCATCCCTGGGAGGGTTTAAGAGGCATCTGGACCTGGGGCTGGATGTTGTGGTTTAAGGGTTGTAGTGGAGTGCCAGGTTAACAGCCGAACTGGATGATCTGAAAGGTCTCTTCCAGCCTTCATGAATGGTCGTTTTCAATGCTCAACACGGTTTCCCTGTGCTCCCTGCACCGATCCCAAGCGCGGTCAGAGTCACCATCCCTGGCAGTGTTAGGGAGGCGTGTGCGGAGTCACGGTCCCTGGCAGTGTTAGGGAGGCGTGTG